CCTTCTGCCTCTGATCTGCTTCTGAAGTGGAAAAAAACCAGAAACCCTCCAGCTGACACACTCCCAGAGAGCAGGAGAGATGGGAAATTCCTGGGATAAGCAGATTCCTCTCTGATTTGCATTTACTCTCAGCTTTTCCTGAGCTGGGTGCTGGGCTCCCATCCCTGCAGCCATTGTCTTCCCCCACACTGCCCTGCACCTGTGAGGAGCTCAACCTTCAGCCACACACCCAGGGATGAAGATTTAGCAAATTACATTCCCACAGTCGTTCCAGGGCATCCTGTTTATTTATATGCACTTTGGGCTCATTGTTTTGAAGCAGCATCCACCAGAAATTAATGCAGACACATCCTCTAGAGAAAACCTCATTAGAGAATCCCTCCTAGAGCAGAGGGAAGGAAAGGCTCCTCACACTGACAGACTTGTGAGCAGGGGACAGCAGGATTGTGAATCCACACTTGTATCCCTCCTACAGAGCTGCTCACTTGTCTTTTTTCCATCTCTTACAGCAGGATTGCTCCCCTCTTGGAAAGCACCAGGGTTTTATCAACTGCACCAGCCCAGATCTTCCCAGACTGGCTCAAAGCAGGATGAAGAAATTTGGATTTTGGACTGGGGTTAGCTGGAGTTCAAACCTCACCCCTCCAGACCTCTTGGATTTGCTGTAAAATGAGCTCAAACCTCAAAGGGTCTTGCCCTGATTGCTGTTTCCATCAGAGTTTGTGCAGTCACTTGAGCTGGGAGCGAGCACCAGGAGCCCTGGGGTTCATCTGCTGTGCCCAAAGCACCCACTGGCACAGGTCAGGAGCCTGAGCTGGACCTGCTGCAGCCCTGCCAGGGCTCCCAGGGCTGAGGAGGCCCCTTGGGAAATCTCCTGCCCATCCAGTGCCCCAGAGGGCATAAGACATCTTTCTAAATAAGTGTGAGGTCCAGTTTTCCTCCTGGCAGCCTGACACCAAAATCTCCTCTTTGATGACCCCACTAAGCCTTGCAAGAGTGGAAAGGACTTTCCAGGACTTTGTTTGGAAGTTCTCAGTCATTTCTTGAGCTCTTTAAAGTTGCCAAGTTGAAAGAACCAACCATTTGCTCCAGGCTCTTTGTGATCCCCCTCCATCCCACTGCCGATTCCTGGCACAGGACCTGGCTGTCCCACCATGTGCATGGATCACGGTGAGCATCCCTCACTCCCACCCCCCTGGGCTTGCTGGATGAGCCTGGGGGACATTTCCAGATGTGACTGCATCACTGCTTTTTGCTCTTGCTCAGAGCCAGGGTCTAAGCCACCACATCCATAAAGAAATCCCTGCTATAATTATCTCCGTGGCACTATCATTTGTTTAAGTCCTTAGTAGAGGGATTAACTTCAGGCTACAGTGCAAAGCAATTGCCACGTTGTCAGTTAGAAAAGTCGTGGTTTCTTTTCCCCTTTTTTTTTTTTCTCTCTAAAATTTTTTCCAGATGTCTTTTTTTTTTTCCTTAGGAGAAGAACGAGCAGCGGTACAATTTCAATGCGAGCCGTGACTAATCCACTGCAGAGAGCATTCAACAGCTGTGTTCAACTTAATGGGTTATGATTCAAGCAAATGAAACTTTGGCTTAGGGGATCTGTGACCTCTGGAGCCAAACTGGACCTACAAGTGGCACTGGGCTGCACTGGGAGCTATGGACACTTGTGGGAGGACAGGGTGCTCCAGTTGATTGAATTAGCCATGGAGTTTTAGACACCATCAGAAATCCAGCCTCCACAGGGACCTGGAGGGTCATGTGGAATATTTATGGATGTCCCTGTGAGTGGTATCAACATCCACATACCAGCAGCCGGGGATGGCTTTTGGGAAGTGTGCAGCCAAGTAAAGAAGTGTGAATATTTTCTTCTCTTCTTCTTTGCCACCAGCCTCCTGAGCTGCCTGATCAGAGACTGACCAGTTCACTGGGAAGTGATGCTGGCTTTTCTTGAACCCCTCCTCCATTCTTTCCCCTCTGCCTTCCCTTTCTGTTCTGTTTATATTTTGCTCCTTGTTGGCCTTGGGATGTTTAGTCTTACATCTGATATCTCACATGCAGCAGAAGTGCCGTGAGGCAGGATGAGGAGTGAGCTGGTACAGAGCACAGACACAAAGGAATCCTACAGAGCAAGGAGCCAGCACAGCTTGGCAGGTCACCACAGGCCAGTCCCCATGTTGACATCTAAATCCTCAGCAACATCACTGGGAAGAGTTAAGCACCCAGATCTGTGTCTCAGCCCTCTCAAAGATAGCACATAATCAAGAACAAACCCAAACCCCGGGCAGCCAAGACAAAACACGATGTTGAATTTTGCTGTGATCTTGGGTGTCCTTCACCCAGCATCCACATGGTGGATGTGCCCAGATATCCTCAGTCCTGCTGGCTACACAAGACACCATCTTTCCAGCAGCCCCGGAGAGCAGCCCCGGGGTGAGGTTTGATGCCACAGGAGGATCACAAGCTGCAAAAAGCTGGATTATCCACAGGGCTCAGGACAGCCCTGTAAGGCATGGAGACATTCTTTAGGGATGCCCAAACTGTAGCAATTTTTGGCTACTGGTTCTCCTTTGCAGCGCTATGCCCAGGCCATGCTGGTGCTGGGGAAGGAGGTGCACCTCACATCCTCTCAGACATGAAAAGAGGCAAGGAGAAAGGAGCTGGGCTTTCACCCTGAGCATAGAGAGGAACAGCTGGGAAAACTCAACTCCAAACAGCTTTGCTGCTTGGCTGCCTCTGGCTGGGCAGCTGCTCCAGCCGAGTTATGATCTGTAAAGTCAAAATAGTGAGTGGTGTCTGAAGAGACCACTGAATTCAGCTGACTGGCAATTCTGACTGGGTTTTGTTCAATCAGTCCAGATCTGCTGGATGATAACCACAGCAGAGAGACCAGTCTGCTGAGAGTCACATCTACCAGCTCAGCATTTCTCTGCCCACTTACAGCATTTCAGATATGTCTTTATCCTCCACATTCTCTGGGTCATTCCTTCCACTCCCTCTCCACAAGGCAGTCATAGATATCAGCAGTGTTAGGATTGGATGCAGGAGCAAAAACTCTCCTGCTTTCCTCTGCATTCCTCTGAGGATGGGAAACACCAGCTCGGGGACTGAGAAATGACAGCATTTAACATTATTATCGCAGGAGCTCGAGGTGTTAGGAGGTGCAAAACCAGGCAGAGATGGCATTCCCGCATCCCCCAGGGCTGTCAGCCCGGGAGAGAAGGAGAACTGAAAACTCACGGCAGCAGTGCATTGCTGCTGTGACAGTGACTCTGCCGGGAGGGCTGCGCTGGGGACTGCTCTGTCCCCGACAGGGACCCCTTCATCTCCAGCTTGATTTCTCTGGTCTATCCTCTGGAGCCAGGCTCAGGGACTGCCCACTGGGAAGCGGAGGAGAGGAAGAGACCGATTTGGAAAGCTAGGGAGGAGGAGGAGGGGGAGAGGCAGAGGGAAACCCAGCCCACCCTTCGGCTTCCTCCAGCCTCCTTCTAAAACTTGCAGATTCCTCCAGCCTGTCCGAGCGCCTGAAGTTCCCTCAGCCGCTGCCGGGACTGCGAGGTATGGCCCGAGCTTCGCGTTTGCCTTTGCTGTGCTTTTCCTCCGTACACGGGGGTCCCCACAGCCCCTCTCGTGGGGTCCCCACAGCCCCTCTCATGGGGTCCCCACAGCCCCTCTCATGGGGTCCCCATGGCCCCTCTCATGGGGTCCCCACAGCCCCTCTCATGGGGTCCCCACAGCCCCTCTCATGGGGTCCCCATAGCCCCTCTCATGGGGTCCCCACAGCCCCTCTCGTGGGGTCCCTGGCCCGGGACCCGCTGCCCCAGCCCGGGGAGTGCTTCCAGCGCTGGCAATGCGTCCCTTGGGATGCGGAGCTGGACCCACTCCACCCCATCTCCATCAAGCATTAGATTTAGAGACCCCTCCTGACTTCATCCCTTTCTCCTCTTTGCGGCATTTCCACTTCTACGCTGTCTCTTACTCAATTTCGCTGCCAGAGTTTTATTGCTTTGGTGGCATCTGACTGTAAAGGTTTAACCTGTCCTCATTCTTCTCTCTCCTCCCTTTTTCCCCTCTGGGTTTTCAGCTGGTGGGTAGTTCCTTAGTGAGATCCGT